AAACTGATATTAAAGTCAAAAGGTTTTCGAAGCTATGCCAAATGTTAATGAAATCACTTACAATGGATGCTGCTTCTTGATGTTTAAAAGCAGAATCAGTTGGTCCCCTGAGCACTGATGTCCTGTTTTAGGGTGGTTCCTTTCCCTTGCAAGGTCCTATGGAGCCACCCTTGTGTGTGTGTCAGTAACACACAAGCACAGCAAGGCAAGCTCCTCGCCACCTCCAAGCTAATAGATGAACAGCTGCTGGAGACTGCTCTGTCCCTTGTGATCTTGTGCTGGACAGGAAGCTCAGTGAAGCAGAGCTGAGAGAGTTGGAGCCGTTCAGAAACAGACAAATAAGAAGTAAATGTAAAAACAGAACTTTCCTATAAACAGCTATGGGCTCCCTTTGGTGCTGCTCACACGTGGGTGGGTCTGGACTAGGGATGCACTGATACCGGTGTCGAGTACAAGTACCAATATATTTTTCCCGGTACTTGCCGATACCGAATATCGATACTTGAAGTCTTATTCAGGAAGCCAAGCGGCGTGTCATGGCTCACCACCCGGCTTCCCGATTGGCAGGAAAGCCGTCCCCATGCTTCTCATCGCTAGGTGACGATAAGGCATCGGAGCATTTGGGCGAGTACGAGTAATCGCCCAAATACTCAGCACCGAAACCGATACTAGTATCGGTATCGGTGCATCCCTGGTCTGGACAGTTGGTCATGTGATCACTGCTGAAGGGCAGCATCAGAGCACAGGCTGGCAGACCCTCCCCTTTATCAAAGATCATGTAACTGATTGCTTACACCTTCCTACATGTAGCCAGCACTGAAGGACGCTTGTAGCAGCATTTTCCCCATTTCAGCCTTTGTTAAGCCATCTCGGCAATTAAAACCAGTCATGGGACAAATACGAGGTCAGCCATTGCTGCCATTTCACAAAGCCCATGACACTCTGATTCCACAGTACAGAATTGCGGCTCAGTCAGGACAACGCATGCGGTCTCCTGCAGAGGTAAGCGTCACACACCCAATAAAAAATGCGCCGGATGGACAATTTTAACAACGGATTCCGGTGTAAACCTTATAAAATATTTAATTCTCAGAACACCCCCGAGGCTTGTGAATGGGCATCCATGGGGGGAGGGGGGCAACAGCTGCAGAGCTTGGAAAAATCTATTATTATAATGACAGGTCCTCATAGTCTACACAAATATGTTGTTTAGCTTGTTTATTAAATGAAAGAGAAA